TCTGTACAGCAACGCACAGACCAGTGCTATACCACCTAGAAGAATGTTTGACAGGAAGACAATTTGAACCTGGCCGAGGGCCACAGATGACAATCACCCACCTTCCTGAGTTAACATCTCCTTTAAAATGATACCTGGAAAAAAGAAGATGAAACTTCTCTAAGGAGGAATCACAGGAAATGTGTGTTTGTGTATATTTGTAGAACCCTCATTGCTACTGAGCTGGGACCAATTCACAGCTCAGAAATCTCCCATGAGGTCATTGGATTTCAGAGGCTTTCGATCTCCCATGGAGCTCCTGATGGATTTGAACCACCAAAGAGGTGTAGCATTTGACTTAGGAGTGCACTTCTCTGCAGACTATGACACTAGAGCTGTGTGTGTGTGTGTGTGTGTGTATGTGATAAAGTTACATAAATAAGCTGGACTTTACAAAGAAGAGTGTGTCATCAGGATCAGAGCAAGACTCATCAACAACCTGCATTATTCAGATGACAACCTTGCTCATAGAAAGTAAGGAGGCCTTGATGCACTTGCTGCAGGAGATCAAGGACCACAGCTTTCAATATGGACTGAAGGAACATCAAAAAAAACAAAAATCCTCACCACCAGGCCGACAGACAGCATCATGATAGATGGAGAAAGGATTGGAATTGTTAACAATTTCATCCAACATCTTTGGATGCCATATCGACATCCTTGGTACCAGCAGTCAGGAAATCAAAAGATGAGAAGTACTTGGAAAAATCTACTGTCAAGAGCCTCTCTGGAGTGCTAAATAAAGGACAGTGTTGTCAGTCTAAAGACTAAGGTGCACCTGACCAAGCCATGGTCTCCTCAATTGCTTGCTCTGCATGTGAAATGTGGGCAATAAATAAAGATGACAGAAGAATCAGTGCCTTTGAATTGTAGTGCTGGAGAAGAGTATTGGATATCGCCTGGAATGCCAAGAGAACAATTAGTTCTGTCCTGTAGAATGTGAAGCCAGGGTGGGCTTTGGAGGCAAGGATGATGAAACTCTGTCTCACCTACTTTGAGCATGTTATCAGGAGAGGTCAGTCTTTGGAGAAGGACATTGTGCTTGGAAAGGTGGAGAGTCACCGTGCGAGAGGGAAGCCTGTAGCAATGTACTGTAGCAAGAGGGTCAAGCGTGCCAGAGCTGATGCGGTTGGCTCAGGGTAGAGCAAGGTTTGGAGCTCTTGATCTTGGAATCTCTGTGACTCAGAAACACATACCAACAACATATATCACATCAAGGCGATATGCTGTTCCTGTTAGATGCTGCTGAGTCAACTCTGATTCAGAGAGACCCTACGAACAACAAGTCTGGACTTTGATTTATCCTCATGATTTCTGTCATGCTCAAAAAGGTAGAATCATCGCATTTTCAAAAGGTTTTAAAGGAAGAATTTTAATTTTATACACACACACACACACACACACACACACACACACACTTCCTATTGAAGAATTCTTCAAGATGAGAACTCCATCCTTAAGACAATAAATAACCTGTTGTTGTTGTTATGTGCCATCAAGTTGCTTGTGACTCATAGCGACCCTAAGTATAAGAGCCCTAAACGCCATTCTATCCTGTGCCAACCTCACTGTCTCAAACACACTCATTCCCACCACTCCAGTTACAGAATTGATTCATCTCATTGAGATTCTTCCTCTTCTGCACCGTCCCTCCACTCTCCCAAGCATGATGTCCCTCTCCAAGGACCAGTCAGTCCCTCCTTGCAACATGCCCAAAGTTTGTCAGATGAAGCTTCAGAATCCTTGACTCCAAGGAACATTCTGGCTTCACCCTCTCCAGGACAAACCTGTTTGTTCTCCTAAACAGTCCATGGTATATTCCTATAGGAGAAATATAAACAGGCAGTGAACATATAAAGGCGATCAACTTGACTTGAACAAAAGAATGAAAAACAAAACACAGATGCAGAAACTGATAGTATTTCTCATCATCATCAGGCACCATCACCAGTTTATAGGCTCTTCCATCATGTGTGTGTACAGCTGTCTGCTACAATCACTTATTCCTTTTTATATCCTTCTTCTCTCGTCCTCAACCCCTACTCCTCATTGGTGAACACTCTAACGTAATGTGCGGGATCTCTCTCTTCCTGGAATTTCAAATAGGATCAAAAATAATCCTTGGCTCATGACCAACTCCTATCACTGGCTCATGTGAAGTTCTCTTTGAAAACCTACTTATTTGTAATAACAAAATAAACACTTGAGGAGCCATCATCTCAGAAGAAACTGTCACAGAAACCCCTGACCCTTACCTCCCTCTCTCCTTCTCTCTTTCCCTCCCTCCCTTCCACTCATTTGACTTCTTTTACCTAAATAACTGCCATCTTGAATTCATGCTTGCCATCCTCTGCTTTCCGTTTTGTCTAGCTGCGCTACTCCCAAATATATCTATCTATCTAATCTAGATCTGTCTCTATGTCATCTTTCTCTCTCTCTCTGTCTCCACCCCCTCATTTGTTCTAATGACAACTGCTTCCTAAGCAACATGCTTCCAGAAACTCTATGAACGTTGATACATGTCAATAGTTATAGAAAGGCTTCAGGCCTTTTGTTCATAAGATTGCTATGAGTCATGCTCAACTTGAAGGCAGTCAACAATAACAATGTTATTGAAAGAGTACAGTGTCGTATGTCTTTTTTAATGGGACTTGGAGTTAAGGCGACATATTTGAAATTAGGTGGTAGAGACTAACAGCGTGGGGGATGAGTGAGGGGGAAAGAGGGAGGAATGTGGAATGTTTCAGCCCAGGGAATGGGTCATTGGTAAATGCCATTCTATCAGATGTGAAGAAGCTGATGGGAAGAGGGCGGGCTTAGTTTTTGGCACATCAATAATACGAGCCAATGTCTATTGAGTACTCGCTATATTCTAGACACTCGTGTGGAACTTAAAGTGTTCTTCATGTGTTATATTCAAGCCTCAGAAGTAGCTGATGAGCTAGGTAGAGTCAGCATTCTTATTTTAAAAATATGGAAACTGAGATGTGGAAAGGTGTAGTTGGCTCTCAGGCCATCAGCAGGATGGATTCCACTCTCCTGCTACCAACATAATGTAAACATTTTATATTGGACAAAATGGATTTTTTAAAAATGTATGTATCTACCTGAACTCAACAGGAAGATAAATCCTTGAGCGGGAGCACAGGGCATTCACTGATAAAACCAGCCCGACTGCGTGGGCTTATTTTATGCTCCCTTTTAAAACAGCCACACAAAGAGGTGAACAGTCAAGAGGAAAAAGGAGGAAAACAATCAAATTGGTGATTTTATGTTTTTAATTATTTATTATTTATTCATTAAATAAGAAAGAAAACAATGAAAGACATTTTCAGTCTTTTATTTTTTTCCCTGATTTAAAAAAAATTCCTTATTATTTGTGTGTGTGTGTATGTGTACCGTCAAATCAGATCTGACTGATTCAGGAGGAGATTGTCCCTCCTTCTCCAGCAGAGCATCTGGTGGATTTGAACTGTTCACCTTTGGGATTGCAGTGCAGCTTCTTGCCACTAGGCCACCAGAGCTTGCCCATTTTTAGTCTTTTTAAAAAATTCTCTGTCAGTGGAACCAACTCAGGGCTGGCCCTTCAGTAAGTTTCCAAGCTTGTAAATACTGTGGAAGGAGATAGCTCTCCATTGTTCCCTGAAGTCACTAATGGATCTGAACTGCCTGGGAAGCATTATCTTCAGGTTACCAGTGTAGATCTCTCTGGACTATACCAACTAAGCTACTCTTTTTTTTTTTTTAAAAAAAAAAAGGGGAAAAAAAGTTGTAGTTGTTGTTGTGTAGCCTCCACTTGGAAACAACTTGTAACTGACCCTCCAGGAGATTTTCAGAGGGATTTTCAGTGGGAGATTCTCCATCTTCCTCCTGCAGAAGAGCCGGGAGATTGGAAAGCTGGGTACCTTGGAGTCTGCAGCCCAACCAACCACTGAGTCACCAGGGTTCCCTCATTTCTTGATTTAGGAAAAATAAACTAAGAAATGAAACCACAATGAAAGACTTGAGCACTATGAAAACATGCAAAAGCCCAAGTTACCTAACTATTATGTGACAGAGTGGGACTCTCCAAGTTCATGGTCTTAATAGGTAGACTTCAGTTACTGGTGTATTTGTGAGGAGTCTATAGGCCATCCCAAGACAGTAGCAGAGATGGGTTTGGAGAGAGCCAGGGCATGCGTGGTTTTACCATCCTGTTTCCTTCACATCACCCTCTGGTCTACAGCGCTCCAGGACCGGGCGTGCCCCCGACATGGCCACCACCGCCTCACCTGTGTTGCTCACCACGGAAGACACCAGTCTTGAGAACAGCAGCTCCTTCTATGACTACGACTACTTTGACGACGTGACCTTTATGCTCTGCCGGAAGGATGAGGTGCTGTCCTTTGCCAAGGTCTTCTTGCCAGCCTTCTACGGCTTGATCTTTGTGTTAGGCCTGGGCGGGAACCTCCTCCTCCTGGTGGTCTTGCTCCGGTATGTGCCTCGAAGACGGACGAGTGCGGTCTACCTGATGAACTTGGCCATCTCCAACCTCCTGTTTGTGATGACTCTGCCCTTCTGGGCCATCACTGTGGCCTGGCATTGGGTCTTTGGCAATTTCTTGTGCAAGATGGTCAGCACGCTTTACACCATTAACTTCTACAGTGGCATTCTCTTCCTTGGCTGCATGAGCCTGGATAAGTACCTGGAGATTGTTCACGCCTGGCCCTCCCAGAGGCTAAGGACATGGGACAGGAGCCTGACCCTTTCTGCTGTGGTATGGGGAGTGGCCCTGGTCATCTCCATCCCTACCATAGTGTTTGTTAAGACCCACAAAACCCACGAGGGTATTTGGAGCTGCCACGCAGATTTTGGTGGGCATGGCACAGTCTGGAAGCTCTTCTTACGGTTCCAGCAGAACCTACTGGGATTTCTCCTTCCACTCTTGGCGATGATTTTCTTCTACTCCCGCATTGGCTGTGTCATGGCCAAGCTGAGGCCGCCAGGCCAGAGCCGGGCTCTAAGGATGGCCGTGGCCCTGGTGCTGACCTTCTTTGTGCTGTGGTTCCCATACAACCTGACCTTGTTTCTGCACTCGATGCTGGATCTGCAACTCTTTGGGGACTGTCAAGTCAGCCACCACCTGGACTATGCCCTGCAGGTGACAGAGTGCATCGCCTTCCTGCACTGCTGCTGCACCCCCATCCTCTATGCCTTCTCCAGCCGCTGCTTTCGCCAGTACCTGAAGACTCTCCTGGCGACCAGGCTTATGGGGCAGCTGACGCCTGGTACTGCTCAGCCCTCACTGTCTGGCTGTTCTGAGAGCAGCAGGCTGACAGTCCAGGAAGAAATGACTGGCATGAATGAGTTGGGGAAGAGGCAGGCTGAGGACTCCCCAACAAGGCAGATGTGGGAAAAGGGTCAGCTTGAAGGGACACCACAGTCAGGTGAGAGCTGATTGACAGGACTGAGCTCGGACAGGCTTCCACCGTCACTAACCCCCAGAACTGCCCTCACTGGGATCCTCAGTGACATCACTAAAACCCCATGATCAGTTCTCAGTTTTCAAGCTCTACTGTTCCAGTTGCCCAAGTGATTCAGGTGCTTCTGGACTGTTTTCTCGTTGTCACATTTTCATGTGATCAGAACAAACACATTAACTCAGACCACACAAGTCTCAGGTATCAGTCCCACTTCCTTCAAAGTGACAGCCCAAGTCCCTGCAGGGTCCCATGAAGGCCCATGGGATCTGCCCAGCCCCACCTTTCTTCTCTGATCTCACCTCTACCGTGCTCCCCTGGATCTGCCTGTTTTAGACACACCAGCCTCTTGGTTATTTCTCAAACACTCCAGGTTCATTATCATAGGACTTAATCCAGGCTCTTGATGGAATGTTTTTCCCCAACACCCTTTTCACTTCCTGGACGCCACACTCTACTTACTGTTTCCTGCGCTTTCCAATCAGTAAGATTTTGCTCTGCCAACTGTGATGTGTAAAAGTGTCTCTTTTAGGTGCCCTAAATGTGCTAACACAAATACCAAGAGGGTTACTGCAAAGAACAGAAATATATTTTCTTACCCTTTGGGTGGGTAAAAGTCCAAGTTAGAGCCTCCCTTGTGGGTAGTCCTGAAGGATCTTTGTTTTCTTGCTTTAGGGAGATTCCTCACAAAGTGTCTTTGTGTGAGTTTCTTTATCTAATCTGCTTATTTTGGAACTTGGAAATTATTCCATTTAGAGCCCACCTATTACCATATGATGTAATTAATATTTTAAAAACCCTCTTTCCAAAGGACAAATATTGCATTGCGCCACTGTTGTAAAACGGGACTGACATCGGGGTTGGAGGGAGACTGAGAAAGATGGGATGAATGATGTGTACTGCATTGAAAAAGATGAAGGAGAGAACTGTTTAAAAGGGATATATGATTAAGTGTTATTGTCATGACAGGAGTCTAGAACGAAGGCTGCATAGTGGAGTGGACTTGGAGGGAGGGATTGTATAACAATGAAAGAACTTTTATTTCTCAAAGAGAAGAGCCACATGGGGGGAGGAGTGAGCAGGGAGAAAAGTACAACAATGAATGAATGGAAATCCAAAGTCTCTGTAAACTTTCATTAAAATTCATAAAAATAAGAATAAACAAACAATAAACCTCTTTCTATAAATATTGAATATATCCGTATGACACACAAATTTGTGAAGCGTTCCATATTTTTATTGTGTTTTTTTTCCTACTACTGGGAAATATCTTTAATCTGCTCTTCTCTGTAAAATGCTTGTCTGTTGGATAATGTTCTAAATCAGAGCAATCTAATTAAGATAGACTAGGAAGAAGGCTTGGCCATCCACTTCAGAACTATCAGGCCTTTGAAAACCCTACGTACAACAGAGCACATTTAGACGAGCAGATATGGCAATCGAGGCTGAGCCCTCAAGTATGGGGACAAGTAGAAGGAGGAACAGTTGTAAGGAGACACTAATTATTGGATGGATTGATTCTGTCACTGGGGTGATGGGGGTAGGTGTTTCAGAGACAATATGGTTGGCAAGAGATAGAGCAGGGTTTTGAGCTGTTACACATAGGGTCGCTATGAGTTGCAAGCGACTTGACAGCACATAACAACAACAACAATATGGGTTGGAATTCCAACATACAATTTTTGGGAGGGCACAATCCATAAGAAGATTGTTTTCCAACCTTGCATCTACACACACTTGTCTTGTAACTGAATCTTATTTAGTCTGGGAGAACTCTCTGTGCCATTCTACCCTGTGCTCGGGGTGGGTGGGGTGTTGGCTGGGATGAGTCAGTGAGAGACGATGGCTATCTGACCCAGAATGCTAATACTGAGACTGAGAGATGTGAGGTCTGGAGTGGCTCCCTCCATCTATCAGAACATCAGAAAGTGGAGAAGAAAGACTAAGTGAATAACATCGTCCAGAGGGAGTGTCTGATCCCAGTGTTTGGTGTGGTGAAGCTCACGCGAATTGTGGACTTGCCAGCTGCATAAACAATAAATTCCTTTCTGGTTTGAATGTCCTGGTTTGGTTTGGTTTTGTCTCTGGCACTTACAGCCTCAGCATTTCTGCCTGCATGCTTCCCTCTCTGTGTCCCCACTGCTGGACTCTTCCCTGCCCTATGATCCCAAAGTCCGTCCTGAGGAAGCTGTTCACTCACTGTGATGTTTCTTTTTTTTGTTTATTTATTTATTTATTTGTTTGTTCTTTTTTTTTTATGTGTGTACCGTCAAATTGGATGTGACAGGAGGCAATTGTTCCTCCTTCTTCAGCAGAGCATCTGGTGGATTTGAACCACGCACCTCTGGGATTGCAGTGCAGTTTCCTGCCACTAGGCCACAAGAGCTCGCCCACTGCGATGTCTCTTTAGCTTCTTAAGCTCTCTCTGCTTCTGTCCACTTCACTGTCTGCGTGTTTTGCGTCTCTCCTGCTAGAGGTGCTTCAGTTCTGTCCACACGCCCGTCTCGTGAGATATAACAGTTTGAGTTGTCGGAGCAGGGCTAGGTACCCAGAGTTCCTGCCTTTGTGCCCAGTACACGCAGATGGGGTGGGGCCAGGTACGCAAAACAAAGCAGGCACGGTGTGTCACCAAACTTGGGGGGTGCTCGTGGCCTTGGTATCGGAACCACCTCATAGCTGTCTTTCCATTGCATTTTTGAGGCTATAAATTGCAAGGGAAGAAATAGTCTTTCTATCTTAGAGCTGCTAGCGGATTCAAACTGCCACAGAGGCATGTCTTTGGGTTATTGGTGCAACTCTTTAAGGGCCCCACTACCAGGCCCCCAAGGGGATAATAATAGGGCCTCATGGATGCTGTCGTGTGGTAAAAAGAGAATGCATGTTTCACTTAGAACAGTGCCTCAGACTAAGTACTCAGCACCTGCCAGCTCTACCCTAATGATTGTCCCCGTGTCTCCTGACACCTTTCCTAGCCTCGGTGGCTTCTCTGGTCCTGCCTTTTCACACCTCCTCAAGTCTGTCTTCTCTTCCGGTCTCAGAAGTGCTTGCTAAGGGGCTGGGACAAGTTACAAACGTGTCCTAACTCTACATACACAAGGGTACATAGAGAGAACCTCAAGTGAAAACTGAATTTCAATGTCCTGATAATATGAAGGGGACTGCAGTGGCCTAGGGTGTAAGGAGTTGCACTGCCAACCCGAAGGCAGGCAGTTCGAATCCAACAGGTGCTCTGAGGTGAAAGCTGAGCAGTCTCCTCCCATGCAACTTACAGCCTCTGAAAACCTGCCGGAGGGGCAGCTATGATTCGGTATCTGCTCGGTGGTAATCTCCCAGCTTCCAAGAACATTGAAAGGAGGACATTGAATACCATGGGCTGTCGGGAGAACAAGTCTGTGTCAGCAGAGGTGCAGACACAATGTTTCTTAGACGTGCGGATGGTACAGCTTCATCTTGTTATCAAGACAGAACAGGCCCCACAGATGGCCATGCTTGGGAACTGTTGTCGTTGTTAAGTGTCGTCGCGTCACAAACGACTCATAGTGACCCTATGAAAGAAAGATTTGAACAGCATCAGGATGGATGGTGAAGAGACTGAGATTGTACACAGCTTTAGTTTGCTTGGCTCCACAGTCAACACTCTTGGCACCAGCAGCCAGGAAATTATAAGGCACATTGCCATGGGAAAGTCTGCTGTTAGG